CAGCAAGCTGACAGCATGCTGATTTGGTGATCAAACAGCGCCCTGACCACACCCCCTCCCATCTATCGCTGACACCCTGCTCGGTAACTCGTCTCGAGACGCGACTGAGCGGGCCGAGCCAGGCCCTTCGACCGGTTACCGCCGCCGGCATAATTCCGCCTGATTCCGACTGCACCGCTGGACACCACACTGCGGCGAGCGACCCCGCTGTCAGACTCGGGCCGAACGCACCCCCTCCCCTACCCCCACTCCAGTTGTGGCGAGGGTGAGGGTATTCACCGCATCAAACCTACAGGCCGCCTGGACCCTTATCTTGAGACCAATAGTACATGCATGCAAATGTGTATGCGCAGGATGAAAACGCAGTTACGTATCTGTAGGTGGCAATCATTTAGGTGTTAACCCTCGCCCATGTAGGGGGGGGTTGGTGCAACCCCCCCCCCCTGAGGTTTTTCGGAAATAGTGCAAAAACGGCGGCGCGCAGCGCCGCCAAATTTTGGGTACCTTATGGGGCAAACCTTGCGCATCTTTTGATAAAAAAATTGACCGGGTCATGTCAGGTCACGGAGTTATGACGTCACAAAGGGAACAGCCTCCGGCCGGATTTTCACAAACTGAGTGCCAACGCCCGAGGTTTCCTGCCGGTGGTACGGACATCGGTTGATGGATCGTGATGAAACTTCCCATGCATGTTGGGGCAAGTATTGGCTATCATATGGTATAAGAAACTTGACCGGGTCAGGTCAGGTCACGGAGCTATGACGTCACAAGAGGAACAGCGTCCGGTACTATTTTTGAAAAGCGCTCGAACCACTATTTTGCTAATTCTTGTCACCTCAATGGGAATATGCAGCAATATTAGCTTCTATAGGGAGCAAATGGACATCCCAAATCCAAAAATACAATCAGATTTCAAAAATTTAAATTTTGATTTTTCGAATTTCTGCCGCCGACTGTGACCTTGCCGACTTCCGGCGCTCCCAACGCGCCATTTCTAGAGCTAGGGAAACGAAATACATACCAAACGATAGAGAATTGATCAAGGAACACGATAGTGAAGGTTTCAAGTCGATATCTCCCACCGTTTTGCCGCAATCGCCGCGGAAAATTTGAAAAAGTCTACTTTTCCGAAAATTTGACCTTTGACCGGTCAAAAGTAGGTCAAATGTTGACCTAGGACCAAAAAATATACCACCAATCGCGAGATCTCGGCGAGAGCAATCCGTTGGTCTTTTCCGCTAAGCTCTACGACGCTCCGTTTTCAAACGCCAAGGGGGGGTCGCACCAACCCCCCCCCCCCCTGCATGGGCGAAGGTGGCAGATCGCCGTTTACGGGCGAGGGTTAAGGTCTAAGGTCAACCGGTGACATCTGAGGTCAGGTAAGCATGACCCAAGGTACGGGTTCGTTTTTTTTTTTTGCAAATCACTTCGCAAAACACGGCCGTAGAGCTGCGATTTGGGCATCATCGTGTTCGCCTCGCTCATCAAATCGCGAAGATTTGAAGCGAAGAGATCAAATGGTATACTTTTTGTTGGGTGAGGTCAACTTGAGGTGTTGACCTCGGGTCACGGTCAGGTCAGAGCCCCCAGGTCACGAAGTGGGTCGAAGGGGGTCATGTCTCACTCTCAGATCATTCGATTTGGCAGCCGTCTTTCCGAGTCCATTGGTGGCTTTCCCAACTGGCACTAGCAAGGGACCCTCTCACCTTAAAAGTCAATGATTTGGTATGTGAGTGATATCACGTGGCTCAGAAAGATTAAAAATGAATATCTACCGAATTTCACTGAAAAATATTCACCGGTTTTTAGGTATAAGACTTTAACCCTATTAGTGGCAGGCTCCTGGCTACCCCATATTAGTGGCAGGGGGGGGGGCTGTTTACGACCCCCCCTTGATATCTCGAGATCTAACCGGCCGATTTTCAAAATTCAAACGGCATTCGATTTGACTCAACGAGATCTACATTTCTAAAAAAAAATGTCAATAGGGGGTAGAGGGGGGTAAAAACGGGCAAATTGCAGATACATTTTAGACTGTTTATCACGGCCAGGTTTCTGAACCAATCTTAGCGCAACTTTTGCCGATCGATAGAGAATGAACCAGGAATTTACATGGATCCTAAAAATATGCATTTTCAAAAATCATAGGCGGATACAGATCATTGAGATTGGGGGTACACAAAAAGTATAGTAAATAAGGTTTTTGTTGGTACTGTTTCTAAAAAGGGTGGCAATGGTCTTGTTATGTTACAATTTTCTTATGAGAGAACGACTAAAATTGTATTGGTCATGCATAGGCGTTGTCAGGGCACCTATGTTGGGAGGTAAAAAATAACCCCCCTTTTTGGACGCCTGGATCCGCCTATTATAGCAAAAACGTGTCAAAAGAGGATGCACAATAACTTTGTATATGTTATCACATGATGCCTTTCATTCACTGTTCGTAAAACTGGTGCAGCATCGTGATCTTCGCCCAAATGACTCGCTTCACGAATAGGACCCCCCAATTCCCAGTGCTCTGGAGCCGCCCCTGGTAAAGTTATGAACTTGAAATTTTCAGGGAATGTGTCCAATTTAGTTTTAGGAAAAGTCAGAAAATTTCAGCATCGTAGCTTCAGCGGTTTCGGAGATTGTTGCGAACTGCAACATGAGACGCCTTCTTCATTTTCACAATACTCGTATATTGAAATAAAAACGAACATTCATACTTGTGCAATGAAAATATTTTTGACGTCTGACCTACAATCGATGGCAAAGGTCATTCGCCAAAAAATTAAGGTCGCGAGACAATTATAGAGACATTTGAAAATTTAAAGGTCTGCTAGGACGGATAAAAACTAATAAGACATCCATTGCTCTTTGCATAAAATAAGACGATGACATCTGCAGAAATAATATAGAGCGAATTGAAACGAATGAGTGAATGAAGGTGAGCATAAATAAGTGAATGAATGAATTGATGAACGAATCAGTGAATGAATCGGCAACATCCCGGCTTCTCTAAATTCGTTTAGACACTAGACACATAAATGACGATCCATTCACACAGTAATATCACTCGTTCTTCGGTCGGTCTCCATATCAGCGTTTCATCACGGGGATCAGATCCAGTACGATCAGCTTCCTGGCCGGGCGGTGAAGGATCCCGTGCTTCGTTTTCACTAGGGCAGAGCGGACGTGACCGTCCTCAGCGCGTACCACTTCCAGTACCTTTCCTCTCGGCCACAGACCACGTGGGCTCTGCGGGTCGACAATGATTACTACGTCTCCGGCTTCAATGTCTCGCTCACTTTTGTTCCACTTTGGCCGTTTTGCGAGCGTTGGCAAATACTCACGAACCCATCTCTTCCAGAAGTGCTCTGACAAAAGTTGAGCGTGTTTCCAGCGCTTCCGCAGGTCGATGTCGTCCTCGGCAGGTGTCCCATGGGGATAAGAAGGAGACGGCCGCCCGATCAAAAAATGGAACGGCGTCAGGGGTTCTTCATCATCTGGGTCTACCGGTACATGGAACAGCGGGGTGGAGTTCAAGATCTTCTCGACCTCGCATATCACCGTGCTGAGAACCTCAAACGTCGGCCGTCGCTCCTTCAATATGACACGGAGCGTTTCTTTGACCGTGCGAATGTTGCGCTCCCAAACTCCTCCGGCTTCAGGATCAGCTGGTACACTGAATCTCCAGGTGATGCCGTCCAAGCTGAGTTGCTTGGTAATCTTCTGATGATTGAGACGCGCGAACTGATCCTTTAGCTCCTTGTTCGCTGATTTGAAACTGCTTGCGTTATCTGTCCACAGCGTCTTCACGTTCCCTCTTCTTGCTTGAAACCGCGCTATAACCATCAGCCCAGTAAACATGCCGACGTCGGCCCGACGTCGGGCCGAGGCTCGGCCCGACGTCGGCCCAACGTCGGTTCAACCTCGGCCCGACATCGGCTGGACGTCGGATATGCCCGCATGTTCCGACGTCCAGCCGAAGTTCAGCCGACGTCGAGCCGAAGTCGGGCCGAGATCGTTTGCCGAGGTTGACGAGATCGTTTGTCGTTGGACCGACGGGGCCGACGTCGGCATGTTTATTGGGACAACGCGCCAAAAATATCAACCGGCGGCTGGATTCGAGCCCGCCAGTCCCCGACGTCGGCATGTTTACTGGGACAACACGCCAAAAGCATCAGTCGGTGATGGGATTCGAACCCCATGTCAATCGAACGCGAGGCTAGTGCGCTAACCACTACACCACGCAGCCAGCTAATGAACTTGGTTTGTGTTGTTGGGTTATGCCCTTTCGGTCTGACAACACCATTTCAGAGCCGGAAGGATCATAGGATGGAGACATTGGTCTTCTTGGCGAGCACCCTGGGTCCAGTTCATACAGAGTCCCTGGTCCCATTGCTGTTACGTGACACTTATTGGAAAGGGCGACCCCACAATGGATTCATATAGCCACTCTTACACACCTGCACCAACGTTTCCCAAAGTGTCCCTTTGATAAGTGGCACTTTGGCAAAGTGACACTTGCCGACTGGCCTTTCTATATGAACTGGGCCCGGCCCTGGTGAGTTGCCGGGGCTGAGCCTGACCAAAGGATAGGCCGAGCAGCCCCCAAGAACTCACCGCACCCGGCTACGGGCGAGCTCGGCTTACGGGCAATCCCAAATGGGATAAAGTTTCCCGTCCAGTCCGGATCAGGGGGTTGCGGCGTGGAGGAAGATTTGAGTTTCCTGAGGATATTTTGAATACAGAAGCTCTTTATGAAACATGAAACATGTATTTTATATTATTTCATTGGTCAAAACAGCGGCCGATGTCGATCCGACGTCGCCCCGACGTCGGCCCGACATCGGCTGGACCTCAGCAATTGATCTCGGTCCGACGTCGGCCCGACGTCGGCTGGACCTCGGCTGGACGTCGGAACATGCGGGCATATCCGACATCCAGCCGACGTCGTGCCGAGGTTGGGCCGACGTCGGGCCGACGTCGGCATGCGGTTGCCGAGTTGCCGACGTCACCCCGAGTCGGCCGACGTCGGGCCGACGTCGGCATGTTTACTGGGAGGGTAGCGTCGGTGTCCAGTCTCTCAGTGAGCTCTATGTGTACAGCCTTTGTCGCCATGCACCGGAACAGAGCTCCCCAGATCTTGCCTACGGCTCGTCCTTTCCTGATCTGCATCGGACCGAAAAAATCCAGTCCCGTCGCACGAAACGCTCCACCCAACATGGTGACTCTCGGCAGGGGCAGAGGTGCCATCTGCGGTGCTGCAGGCTTGGCCTTCCTGATCTTGCACAGCCGACACTGAGAGACGACCTTCCTGATCTCCCGTGCTGCCTGTGGCACCCAACACCGCTGTCGTAATTCAACGAGAACGGCGTCGTGACCGCGGTGAGCCATCTTCTCATGGATGTGCTGTATTAACAGACGTGTGTACAGGTGAGCGCGTGGTAAGATGACTGGAAATCTAGCAGATGTACTCATTTCCGGAGATCGTCTTGTCCTTGAGTCTAGGCATATCAGCCCATCCATCAGTGTGACTGTCAGCGCTGACAGAGGGCTCTTGGGATCCAGGGGAATGCCGGCCTTCAGATCGCGCAGCTCGGCTGCGTAGACATCTTGCTGAGCCATTTTCATCAGCAGGGCTTCAGCTTCGACTTCCACGGACTGGCCATCTTCTGCTGTAGCTTTGATTCCATATTGCCTTTTTGCACGATTTCTCCATCTCAGGATCACCGAGACGGTCCGAACTGCTGTACTCCACTTTGAGAATCTTGACAGATCTGGCATTGCAAGTCTGATGTCTGGAACTGGGGACTGAGCGGCATCAACCGTGAATACAAGCTTGGTCTCCGGATCATCTTGCAGAATATCTTGAGGTGATGAGTTCAGTTCCTCTGGCCACGTGTCACGTGTTTCACGCAGGAAATCGGGACCTGTCGGCCAAAACCCGTCTGGATGCAGGTCACGCAGCCGGTGACCCCTCGAGCCACCATCAGCTGGATTCAGCGCTGTCGGTACGTAGCGCCACTGCTTGGCCGACGACCTGTCGAGAATTTCGGCCGTCCTGTTGCTCACAAAGACATGGTATCGTCGATCTTGCGCTTTGATCCACGCCAAAACGTTTTTGGAGTCGGACCAATAGGTCACAGCCGTCCAGTCGAGGCGACTTTCCTTCCGGAGCGAGCAGACTAGTCTTGTCGCCAAGACGGCTGCCTGGAGCTCTAGGCGAGGGACGGACAGCGTCTTCAGCGGCGCGAGTCTGGACCGTGCTGCGACAAATGTAGTGAAGACTTGAGAGTTGGACGTCCACTTGTAGTACACGACCGCAGAAAATCCGTCTGTACTCGCGTCACAAAATGCGTGTACTTCTACGGCAGTGATTTCGGCATCTTGTCGAAAATAATGTCTGGGCATGTCTACGGAGCTGATGAGAGCTAGCTCACGGGTCCATTCTTCCCAAACTTTCCTGTCTTGTCCATCAGGCTCGTCTTCCCATCCTTGACGTTTTGCCCACATGTTTTGCAGCGCCTTTTTCACTGGCAGTAGCCACCCGGACAGGTAGCCCAACGGATCGAAGACGGACATCACGACTGACAGGATATTCCTCTTCGTGGGCGTCGGAGTCGTCAGTTGGGCACTGTATGTGATGACGTCAGAGCTGGGCTTCCAGACCGTGCCGAGGGTTCGTTGTGAGTCGGTCACACCCAGTGTTACATTTTCTTCGAGTGATGTCTCGTTCCCCGACCCGTCCTTCACCACTGTCGCAGTGTTTGAAGTCCAATCACTCAGTTCGAACCCTCCTTGAGCCAGGGTCGACGTCATGTCTTCAATGAATTTGATCGCCTCATTTTCCGTGTTGACGCTGTATATGATGTCGTCCACGTACGTACAGTTTTCAATAGCGTCCATCACGTGTGGAAGTTGGCTTCCGAATCGTTTGCCCGTCTCCCTGAAGCAGTATCCAGCGACAGCCGGTGAAGATTTTGCGCCAAAGATGACGACTTGTGACTCGTAAGTGTCCACTGGTCCCGTCCGGCGGCGTCCTCTCCATAGGAACCGCAGACAAGCTCGATCCTGGTCCCGCACGAGAATTTGCGAGAACATGGCCTTGACGTCGGAAGTCACGGCGATTGGCTTTTCACGCCATCTGCAGATGATTCCAGGAATGGAGTTGGAGAAGTCCGGTCCTCTCATGAGATAGTCGTTGAGACATCTGTCCTGACTCCTCGCGGCGGCGTCAAGAACCAGTCGTACCTTTTCCGGCTTCATCTTGTTAGTGACTGCTAACAAGGGAAGGTACCATGTGCGGTCAGTTTCTTTGGCTGCCTCTTCCGTGCTTAGTCTCCGGAAGTGTCCGTTTCTTATCATTTCGTCCATTTTTTCGTACACCAGTTTGGCTGATTTTCCATCTCCTGACTTTTCAGTTTTGTCCAGTTTTCTTTCCAGAGTCTTAGCTCTCCTCTCAGCCATCGTCCGGCTGGGAGGAAACACGGCCTGCGAATCTCGCAGCAGAATGGGCGCGACCCAGCGCTCTCCATTGTGGAACACTTCTTGTTGAAGAGTGGACTCTGCTCGGCGGTCTTCTGGACTGTCAGGTGTATCTTTGTCGTACACACAGCCAAACGACTCAGTAGTCCAGCTGGCTCGAAACGTCTCGTCCAATAGGGTGCAGTCATCTTCATGCCGCCGGATGAACTGCACTTGCTCGTCAGTAACAGTGACAGCGGCCAGGGCCCGCCCTGTCACTGTCCAGCCGAGGAGGGTCTTCTGCAGCAGAGGACCATTTTTCGTCGTTCGCCGCAGCTGTCTTGTGGCGATGAGCTCAGCGTTGTCCATCCCGATGATCATTCGAGGAGCCTCATCGAGATAAGGTATCGCCATAGTTTCGAGCAGGGGATACTTTTTAGCGAGGTCCGTCATAGTCACTGGGCTTCTGCTCAGTTCCAGCTTGTTGATGGCTACGGCATCCTTCAGCTCAAACTCGTTTCCTGTTTCGGCGCTGCTGACGAGAAGGTCGAGTTTTCCAACTTCGTGCTCTGTGACGCCGGTCATCGTCCTAATTCTCATCTTGTCCGGCATCGTGTCAAGTCCCAGTTCTTCTGCCAAATCACTCTCGATTAGTGTCAGGGAACTACCTTCGTCTAAGTAAGCCACGCACTGTCTTGTGACGCTCGGTCCGTGAACACGTACCACCACCGTCTTCATCAGCATAACTTTACGATCGGCGTTCACCGTGCCCACTACCGCTGTCGTCTGCGGCTTGGTGTGTAGCAGAGCGTGATGTTTTTCTTTGCAGCCGTCGACGCCACATGGCAGTTGTCTATGACACTGTTGTGTGCGATGTGACGTACTCAAACACCGCACACAGGCGCTGTTTGACTCGGTCCACTTCCATCTCCGGTCACCGGTCAGCTCTTGGAAAGCTTTGCAGCGCGAAATCCAATGGGGCTGCTTACAAAAGTAGCACGAGACCTGCGCACGACTCCGTGTTCCTTGCCCACTGGGACTGGTTGCGTCTGACGCGGCCACACGACCCACTTCAGCAGCGCTGTCCATCGCGTAACTCTGCCTTACTTTTCTGGGTAGTGGGCGTGGCTTCCGGGTAGGTTCTCGGCTGCCGGGCTCAGCGCGAACGGCGCTGAATTGCCGGTCTTGAGCGTGCTCCTCCAGAAAGTCACAGAAGGTGCGGCAGGTGACGTCACCGTGTTCGTCCGCATGCTGTCTTCCGTATGAGCCCCATGCATGCTGACTGTCCAGAGGCAGCTTCTCTACGAGCAGGCTGATCGTTCGAAAGTTGTTCATTTCGTTTTCGCTTCCCATCGATTCGAGGACTGCTATCGCGTTGTATACCTCTGTGCTGAAGCGAGCGAGTTCTTCAACATCCATGACACTCATTTTTGATCGTTCTAGGAGTTTTCTCGTTACAGCTTGAGTTACGCGCAGTTTGTTTCCGAATCTGGAATCTAAGACGTGTAGAATGCGCGTCAGAGAGACTCCAGCCAGGAGGGCACCGTGCACGGCATTAAATGCCTCCCTTTCAGCCTCTCTTTGAGGTGAGACACGATTTTGGCTTCGGAAAATAGGCCGCTTTCCAGTGCCTCGTTGACTTGCCGTTTGAAAAGTGGGTAGTGTGCCACATCACCGTCAAAACACAGTACATCTAACTTAGGAGCCTCAGTAATCGTGATACTCACAGGCTTGTTGCCTTGTTGGCTTGCATTTCCCAGGCGAGCGGGACGCTCAGCTCGGCTCGAATCAGCCACTGACGGACCGATGTCTTCACGATTTTCAAGTGTGGTAGATGGCAAAATGTTCGGCCTCTCCTCGTTTGTCTCCTCTTCCTCTTCGAGCACAGCCCTTTCTACATCATATTGGGCTCTCAACAGCTCCAGCGCTCTTAAGTTTTCTTCGTGTTTTCTTTGTAGTGCTTGCTCCTGCTGTAGTTGTCTCAATTAGAGGTGGCAAAACTGGAAAATTTTGGGACCCGGACCCGGACCCGGTCTGACTGGCACATTTCTGGAACCGGTCAGACCCGGTCTAAGTCAGCGTTGGAACCAGATGGACCCGCCCAAAATTCATTATGAAAATTGTGTACGGTTGTAGGTATAGCAAAAGAAAATAGTTTCTTTCCAATTGGGCATGCTTGTGTTGCAAAGTAAAAGCTAAAAAAACTCATGCCATGGTCATTTCACTTCGCTTTACAGTTTGTATTTTGGAACCAGATTCAGGTCATATTTAAGAATATAAGAAGCAAGTAAACCAATGAATTTCATGCTAACCTAAGCCACTTTTACTACAGCTGCTAAAAATGATGTGAACTGGGGATCCATGGACCAGTGCCTTCCTTAGAGTCAGAACAAGAACCTAACATCAACATGGAACAAGATAACCATACTGATACATACCTTTTCTAATATTCTTGGTAAAAGATATTCGTTTTGAGAATTAAATTCATTAGTCCTTACAAATATTATCAACTATCAAAGGCCCCAAACGATAAAACATTCAAAATCAAAATAGAAACATGAAAACTGTGTGAGGTCCGCCAGAAATGTCGACACGATCAGGGGGATGTCACTACTTTGCTTTGCCATAGGTCCAGTACTGAGGTCGTCGGTTTCAATCCCGGTGACGTCAGTGCTGTCTACATCCGGGAACGTATTGCACTTGGTTCTCATTAGAGGTGGCCATATTGTTTTGTCCCGTGACGACACATTTGCGTCATCGGGATCGAAACTGGCTGTAAACAAATCGCTCAGTGTCGCTACCTACTATATATGGCCTTGGACACGATAGCAATGCAAGGACAAAACAGGCGTTAAATCACTGCAAAATTTTGTTGAGGTTAAAGTACTGCAAAATCGTAATGGCAATAAACTTTCAAGTACTGCAAGTTGGTTAAGTAGGTTGCGATCATGACTTAAGTGCCAATTTATTAACGTAGAAAACAAACTACATTTTGTTGTTAGTACCTTGATATAGAATAAATACCAAGGGTTCTGAGACTTACCTGATTTCTTCCCGAACGTGTTCCGAAATTGTAACCTTTATGCAGTAGATTAGCGTGCGTAAGGTATAGCATATATGACGCTCAAATGCGCTATTTTCACATCAACACGGAATCATTGGCCTTGGAGAAGGGCATTGGTATTGACTCAGTTTTTTTGTCAGCTGCTGCCGTATGATGGCGCTAGTAGAGCGCTATATGTACATATATTATAATACGCTCTGCTAGCGCCACCATGCGGCGCCAGTTGGCTAAAATCTGATCAATACTACGGTTTCTGGAGAATGTCTTGGATTCATTTTTAGCTTTATGGATTTATGCAAGGGCATGTTGGTTTTATGAGTTGTCTTCTGGCCGTGATATAAATAATTTCAAAGCTGTTTGAGTTATGAAATGCATTTGAATATCAAACATGAACTCTGATTTCCGGTGGGCATAGTGACTTTGGTATGTCAATGTCTTTGAAAAGGCAGGTGAGAATGCCACTGGTCAGCCTTGCTTCAATTGGATTTGTGTCCATTTACATATAAATGGATTTCAGTCATACCTACTTACCTACATATGTTATTGGTATTTGATTTCTACAGCTCAAAATATTGCTAGGTGCTGTACAGCAAACTGAATGGAAGTAATCCGTACAAACATTTGGTGAAATGTTTTCTGGATTGCTAGCACTTAGAACTTGTCTATTCTGTTGTAGGTGACAAGATAAGAAATTGAAGCAAGACTGACCAGTATCAGTATGCTATAGAATAGGTAGCCCAATCTGCTGGAATATTAAATTCAAAATTGGAATTGGGACTTATGAACTGGAAACTGCATTAACTATGACTATGTTTGCAAAGCATTAAAGATATTAATATTTACCATAAAGCACAGGGAAATGATAGGACCCAGTTGGACCCGGCCAAATATTTTGGGGGACCCGGTCTGGACCCATCCGGGTCCAGACCGGTTCCATAGACCGGGTCCCCGGGTCCACATTTTGCCACCTCTAGTCTCAATCTTAACTCAGCAGATCTGCGTGATGAAGCTTTCGACGACATCGAGACTGATGAGCAAACACTCATGGCCCCGGCTTCATTGATGCTCTCCCGTTCGTCGTCTTCGAAACCATAACGAACTGGAGCGCGTCTCACTCTGTCTCCTCTTCTCGGAGTGGGAACCGGTGTACGACTCATGGTTGTTCAGCAACAAGTTTAAGCAATATTTAAAGTCATCGTTTACTTTAATTAATGCTATGCTGCGATTACAACGTGACGTGAGGATCGATAAGTCGATGTTACGTTACTCAGAATAATAGGAATTGTAACGATTCGAAGTGTAAATCTACATTTACGTTACCGTAACGACATTAAAATATTTTCATGAAATGTTGCGAACTGCAACATGAGACGCCTTCTTCATTTTCACAATATATTGAAATAAAAACGAACATTCATACTTATGCAATGAAAATATTTTTGACGTCTGACCTACAATCGATGGCAAAGGTCATTCGCCAAAAAATTAAGGTCGCGAGACAATTATAGAGACATTTGAAAATTTAAAGGTCTGCTAGGACGGAGAAAAACTAATAAGACATCCATTGCTCTTTGCATAAAATAAGACGATGACATCTGCAGAAATAATATAGAGCGAATTGAAACGAATGAGTGAATGAAGGTGAGCATAAATAAGTGAATGAATGAATTGATGAACGAATCAGTGAATGAATCGGCAACAGAGATATTCCCGAAAAACCTGAGGGGTGGATAAAAACAACCCCCCCCCCCTGCCACTAATAGGGTTAACTTTTGTTTACTTTTTGGGGCCTCCACTGTTCTTATAACGTCATTTGGAAACAATAATTTGGTATCTTAAAAGTGCGGCAGATGTTGCTCGCAAATCAGCATACCTACGTATACCTACCGCCACAGCATCATATTTCTCTTAGTATCAAATTTAAAAATTGCTAGACCTGCGCTGACGTCAGAAAATCTCAGGGGGCGTTCAAATGTATTAGCCCTTGTAATCCGAAAACTGCAGACTTTGAAATTAAATACCTCCGAATTAACCCGGCCGGGCCCGGGGGGGTAATCCCAACCACCGCAGCCCGGGGAGGGGCGTTTTTCGCCCCCCCCCCCCCCTGTCTAACTCCGTAAATAAGGGAGATACGGAAACAAAAGCGATACCAAACGAAAGGTCCTTACGAGACGATTCTAAAGCAACTAAAATTTTTGACCTCAGGTCAATTTTCAAGGTCAGAGGTCAAGGTCAAAGGCAAAAACCGGCACATGTGTAGTGATCTCAAAGTAAGCGTTCTAGAGGACGGCAGGATGCATCAAACCGGCAAAATTGGATGTCAAACGAAAGAAGACAATCTGAGAATTCCGAAATTGTGCTCAAATTCAAAGGTCAAGGTCACGCTCAAAATTGACCTCAAACTTTGCACTTTTTCGTACATCGTGCGTGCTAACTTCCAAAAAGTTTTGAAATGTTTTGAGGCTTATCAGTTCCCTATTTGTGGTTCATCTTACGATACAAGGCTGCTCAAAGGTCAAGGTCACAGAAGAGTATCCTTGCTAGAGGCTATTTCACTGATTCAAGTTAGTAATAATAAATAAGACAATTCTGCCATCCGGAAGCTCTAAATGAAGGTGTAACTGTATCGGTCTGGCCCGGACCCGGGCTGGGTGGACGGGGCTGGGGTCGGACTCGGCCGACGCGGGCCCATGTGCCGGCCATGTGTCTCCCCGGCGGCGACACGCGGTGGACGGGAGCCGCGGGCCGCGGCAGTGTGAGGTCGGCGATAGCCCGTGGTGGGTGAGCGACCGTGTGGAAATACATACAGAAACTACAAGCTATTTCGGCATTGCGAAAAATGGCCAACAAGACCGGCAGCGTGGACCTGTCTCGGTGACGACGATGAGCGGTGACGAGTTTCAGTGCACTGGCTCGGGCAGTGCTGACGTGGTGACTGTGACCGGGCAGCGGGCCCGAGTGAGTGTGCTGGTGGTGAGCGAGCGGCCCCTGGGAGTGGAACTAATTATCGGCATGTCTGGCATCTCTAGCCTGGGGGGTGTCAGTGTGCAGTCACCGTCTCAAGTCCGCTTCTGTGGAGCCGCTGCCCGTGCACCACTCGAAGTTGACGCGCCGGACTTTAGTGTGCGGTTCGACTCGGCAGAGCGAAAGTGGACTGTGGCTTGGAAGTGGGCGGACAACTCTGGCCCTGAGTGCCTGGAAAACTCTGTGCCCCAGTACTCCGTGCCACGGTCCGCCCGCTACGAATTTGACACGGAGCTGGACACATGGATCAGCAACGGCTGGCTGCTGCCATACGACGAGCAGCGGCTCGGCCCACCGCGAGGGCTCGTACCGCTGATGGCTGTACAACAGAAGAATAAGGAGAAAGTGAGGCCGGTGCTGGACTATCGGGAGTTAAACAGCCACCTAAACGCCCACACCGCTGAAGCAGATGTCTGCGCCGATCAGCTGAGGAAGTGGCGGCGTCACGGCAGAAACGTGGCGGTCGTTGACCTCAAAAAGGCGTACCTTCAGATCCATCTCGACGAAAGTCTATGGCCGTATCAAACGGTTGAGATTCGTGGCCAGCGCTTCTATCTGGGGAGGCTAGGATTTGGACTCAGCCTAGGGCCGCTAGTCATGAAGGCGGTCGTCAGTGCTGTGCTGGCACAGGACCCTGAAATCCAGCGTGCAGTGCTCTCATATGTGGATGACTTGCTGGTAGATGAGGACATTGCGAGCGCGGAGCGGGTTGTCAGTCATTTCGCCAGGTATGGACTCGAGTGCAAGGCCCCTGAGCGTGTGTCTGATGGTGCGCGGCTGCTCGGACTGCGAGTTCGCCCACTGCGTGACGAGCTGCACTGGGTGCGAGACAACCCTGTCGGCCCCCCGCCCAGCCCGCTGACCCGCCGCAGCGTGTTTGCTTGGTGCGGTCGCCTGGTGGCCCACCTCCCGGTCTGTGGGTGGCTGCGTCCCGCTACAGCCTGGCTCAAACGCCGTGCTAATG